TGTGGTGGCCGTGAGCATGCCACTGCACTCCAGTCTGGGTGACAGAGTAAGACTCCAACTCAAAAAAAAAAATGCATTTAGTATTCCTAGTCTATTGAACATCATAGCGCAGCCTAACCTGCCTTAAACATACATTACTATTATCATCCCCATTTCACAAATGAGGAAACTGAAAACCGGTAAATGACTTGCTCAAGGTGACCTACCAGTAATTGGAAGACCCAGGCAGCCTGACCCTAGAGTCCACTTCCACCTTCACTGTATGAACAGAGAAACACATGAGGCATAGACTGAAGAACACAGGGTAAGCCCATGTGTATAAATATATTTAACATGCTTATTTACATATGTTTATAAATAGACAAGCCACAGTGCTTACTGAGAGACTTGCTATTTACTCCTTTCTACAATGTGTGAGTGTTTTTCCATGCACATGAATGAGGGATGCAGGGATGATGTCATGTTTCCAACAGGACTTGAGTACCTCGGAATAATCATAACAACTATGTACCAAATATGTTGGTGTGAATTACCTCATCTAATCCTTACAACTATGTGAAGTTCACTATTATCCCCACTTTACAGATAAGGAAACTGAAGAGCAGAGAGATTAAGCATAGGGCCCAACCCCACACAAGTCTCACACAGATGCCCCTCTCACTACACTCTCTCCTCCACCCCTAGATATTCAAGGACAGCATCCTCACTCCCTCACCAGTGGTTCTCAACCCAGGCTACACATGGGAATCATGTAGGGAGTTTTAAAACTACCAACGCCTGGCCCTGGGTCCAGAGATTCAGATGGCATTGGTCTGCAGTGAGTCCTGGGCATTTCTATTTTTAAGGATCTTTGGGGGATTCTAAGGTATAGCTGAGGAGAGAACCACTGCCCAAATCAAACTGGCAGGCGAGAAAAGAAAATGGGCATTAATCTGGCTGGCAATGATGTCAAGGAAGACAAGTTAAGAAACTGACAAAAATATATATGAAGTGGAACTCCTATGATGAAACTTCAGGCAATTGCAAGCATGGAATGATCCCCTGAGGATGCCCTAACCCTTTTGATGGCTCCATGCTTACAACCCCCTTAGTCTAGCTGCTGATCACTGGATTCCCAACAAGATAGCAAGGATCCCTGAGTCTAAGTCAATCACTGCAGCTCCTCAGATGTGTAAGGATAGACAGACCCTTTCTACCTAAAAAGGGTTTTTTAAATAATTCAATTCTCAGAAACTTTATTCAGTTATTTGTATTTAGTGTGAGCCTGCCCCCAAATGACTTGGAAATAGTGAAATTTGGCTTGTAGTCCAGGCTCAATGAAGTCCCTAAGTCTAATACCTAAATAAGAATGAGCCAGCTAATGTCACTGGGACCTGGTCTCTCTAATCTGTAAAATAAAGGGGCAGAGGGTAAATGCCACCTCATATGTCAAAAATGACACTTTTCAGCCATAAAAATTCTATGATCCTTTCTACCTTTCCAGAACTGGGAAAGGAAACAGAAGTACTTGTCCTCATTGGGTCTAGAATTTGATTTTACCCTACTTAAAGGCTAATAACTTGGCCTGTTACTATTTCATGGATTCTGGCAGAAGACATGAGACTCCTGGTACCACACAGCATATATATCTCAGCTCTCCTTACTGACACGTGACATAGATGGCCCAGATGGATTCACACATAGCATCACAGCTAGAGAACGCTGAGCTTGAGGCACTCACCGCTTTCACAGTAAGTGGTAGGCGAAGCTGCCTTTGTTTGGGGGAAAGTTGTCATCTCATTCCTCAAGGTTAGTATTCCCTCAAGGTTATAGCTTTGACACACCTGGCAAGACATGTAGGAACACAGAGCCCAAATAAGCCACCTTCTCACATACGCCTGGCTTCTGGTAAATTTTCACATTAATGTGCCACTCCACTGATCTTAAAGTGTGTGTTATAAGAATGGAGCTCAGGCCGGGCTCGGTGCCTCAGGCTGTAATCCTGCGCCTTTGGGAGGCTGAGGTGAGTGGATTGCCTGAGCCCGCGGGTTCGAGACCCACCTGGGCAACTTGGCGAGACCTCATCTCTACAATAAATCAAAAAATCAGCCGGGCGTGGTAGCACACGCCTGTAGTTCTGGCTACTCGGAAGGCTGAGGTGGAAGGATCGCCGGAGCCCAGCAGGTCGAGGCTCCAGTGACCGGGAGCGGCCACTGCACTCTGCAGTCTGGGTGACAGAGTGAGACTCCAACTCAAAAAAAAAAAAAAAAAAAGATAATGCAACTGAACAACAATGATTGAAGATTATAAAATTGTGATCTCTCAAAAAGATATAATAGGTCGGGTATGGTGGCTCATGCTTATAATCCCAGCGCTTTGGGATGCCGAGATGAGAGGATTACCTGAACCCACAGGTTCAAGACCAGCCTGGGTAACTTGGTGAGACCTCTTCTCTACAAAAAATTTTTTTTAAAAATTAGCTGGATATGGTGGCGCATGCCTGTAGTTCCAGCGACTTGGGAGCCTGAGGTGGAAGGATCACCTGAGCCTAGCAGGTCAAGACTGTGGTGGCAAAGAGTGTGCCACTGCACTGCAGCCTGGATCACAGAGTGAGACTCCAACTCAGGGAAAAAAAAAGATATAATAAGCTAAACTAGACTTATCAGTGGACTGATATAATATATAGAGGCAATGTATTTTACTCTGTTTACATATTACTGCTTATCTATATTTTTGAAACTAAAAGAAAATAAACAAAAAGTTTATAAACAAAGTATTGCTCATTCACGAGACTTTCAGTTTCTGAGCAATTGGCAAATGTCCGTGTATGCTGAGTTATACAGGTGAGATCATGGCCTTGCCACCCAAAGGGGACACTGCCAACAAGCAGCTTTGGGGACCCTCGAAACAGTCCTGCCCAGCAAATTCCTGGGGCAGCTGGAGGAGAAAATGATATCACCTGCCCAACAGCTGTCTGATTAATACACAGAGGCCTGAAGACTCCTGCTAGGTAGCCTACCGATTTCAGCTGGAAGACTTGAGAGTTGGTTTTTTGGCAGATTCAGAATTCTCATTGCTTGAAACAGCTCGATATATGTAGGAATGCTTTGAATCAGGGTATTGCTTATGTGCCATTCTTTCAGGTGCGTCTGCTCCTTCAATGAATCTGGGAGCTCCTAAAATAGAACAAATGACATCAATCAGAACTAGCTCCTTGGTGTGCACAAAGCCAATTAAAATCAAACATTTAACCACCAGCACTCCAGCCATTTCAAAAGGAAACCAAAGGCACCATGGTTGTCCTTAATTTCACAACAGCAGATGAGCCCTATGTCAAAACTGCCATGAATTTGTGATATTATTAAAACCAGACCCTAGGGAACACAGACAGCCAGGCTTACACCCATAGCCGTAATACATATTAATTCATCACACACCAATTTAACATCCTCTAAAATCAAAATCTGTTCATTTCTGAAATTTTGAAATCCCTTACAAAACTCGATTTTGAAATTTGTGCTGCATTTCCCTCTCTCTGTAGTTGCTTTTAAAAATATTTGATAGACATCTACTATTTGCTGTACCAAATTTCCAAATGCTCTTATGAGTCTATAATCAAGAAAGAGCCCCAGAGAGACAGTCAGCAGGGGGACCCGAGTTCCAACCTAGCTCCCGTCGTCCTCTGGGTCTTTGCTTCTGAAGTGATGGTGAGAACTCAGCAGTAATTTTCCCCGAGCTCAAGCGCTCCAGGATAAAAGTGTAAAGGTGTTGAGAAGCACTGAAGGACTTTAGGGGGCTATTTGTCCTGTTGAAGAAATCCAATTCACCAAGTGCTGCAAAGTCCCCACCGTAAACTAGGTACGCTCAGCTCTAAAGGGCAGAGCAGAGATGAGGTACAAAGGCTCCCTGACCTCAGAAACTGACCATGGTGCGCCCAGCAAAGTAGCCAGAGCACAGAGAGGGGGTAGAAAACTCCATGGGGGGAAGTAGGGGAGCAGAGGGAGCAATTAGAGTCCCTAGTGACCCTTTGTTCAGTACTCAGTATTTGTAATGTGCTTTATGATCATTGCTGTTGTGTGTGTGGGTTAAGCTTTTAACTTACAAAAATACTTTCACCCTAGTACTACTTCATGCGATAGCATGGTGGCTCATGCCTGTAATCCCACCATTTTGGAAGATTAAGGCAGGTGGATTGCCTGAGCCAAGGAGTTTGAGGCCAGCCTGGGCAACATAGTGAGACCATGTCTCTTTACAACAAAACAAAACAAAACAAGGCCCATTTGAAGAGGAAATCCCAAACCTGACGATGTATCACTCACAGTAAGAACTGGCTACCTAATTTGCAGGGCCTACTGTAAAAAAGAATATTTGGCACCTTGTTAAAAATTAAGAATTTCAAGATGGTGACCAGAAAGCACAAAACCAAGCGCAGGGCCCTGTGTGACCGCTTCTACAGCTGACTACCTACTTACTATCTGCCCCTGAGTGATCAGCCCTGGCAAAGCATTCTGACGCCTCCTGATCTGAATGGCACCCAGACCACATCAGATGTTTTGCCTTCTGGAGCAGAGACAGAGTGGAGAGTTGAGTCCTAGGGAGCTGACCACAGGCTCATAACCACACTTTGTTGAGGTTTCAACATACTGATGCCACCATAAATAACAACTCATTCCACTCTTTCAATAATAGTGCACTTGAAAATTGTACCTTCTAAAATTATGTTCATGATTTTTTTTTTTCCTTTTTTGGGAGTCAGGGTCTCTCTGTTGCCCAGGCTGGAGTACAGTGACACGGCTCACCACAACCTCCAACTCCTGAGTTCAAGTAATCCTCCTGCATTAGCCTCTCATAGAGTAGCTGGGACTACAAGTGCACATCACCACACCCAGCTATTTTTTTTTTTATCATTTTTATTTTTTGAAGAGACAAAGACTTGCTATATTGTGAGACTGATCTGGAACTCCTGGGCTCAAGTGATTCTCCCACATCAGCCTCCCAAAGTGCTGGGATTACAGAATTGAGATCACCGCACCCGGCCTCATGACTATTTTGAATAGTCAATAGCAAAAAATATAAGGGTGTCATATTGAATGGAATTACAAGGAATAGGGTAAAAATAACAGATTAAGGACACACATATACTTTTGCTTCCCTCCAAAATTCCACTAAAAACAACAGTATAAACCAGGCTCAGTGGCTCAGCCTGTAATCTGGTGCCTTTGGGAGGCTGAGGTGAGTGAATTGCCTGAGCCCGTGGGTTCGAGACCCGCCTGGGCAGTGAGACCTCATCTCTACAATAAATCAAAAAATCAGCCAGGCGTGGTAGCGTGCGCCTGTAATTCCAGCTACTCGGAAGGCTGAGGTGGAAGGATCACCAGAGCCCAGCAGGTGAGGCTGCGGTGGCCGGGAGCGGCCACTGCACTACAGTCTGGGCGAGAGAGTGAGACTCCAACTCAAAAAAAAAAAACAAAAAAAAAAAAAACAGTATAGGAACTTTTTAGACAGCATAAACCTTGAGAAAGAGAAAGGCAGTGGGGACGCTATCAGGAAAATGTTGGAAGCCAGAAAACTGGAAGATGGTATCCTGGCTTCCCTGAGTCTGCTTAGTCTTAGATCAACAGCAGAAACAACTGAGATACAACCTGGGCTTCTTAGCAGAAGCTACCAGAGAGAAACTTAGGTAGTGGAAGAGCCAGGTACAGCTAAAAGTAACAGATGAAAGCAGGGCCCAAAGAAAGAGGTCAGGTTCAAAGTCTAAGAACCAGAAGCTTGACCCCCATTCATCCCCGAAGCAATTCCCTCTGCCTGCCTCCAGTAATGTTATAGGCCAAGGCTCTGAAAACAGGGGTTTGTTATAAATTATGTTTTTAAATGATTTAAAACTTTTTTCCAGCTGGGTATGGTGGTTCAGCCTGTAATCCCAGCACTTTGGGAGGCTGAGACGAGAGGATTGCCTGAGCCCAGGGGTTCGATACCAGCCTGGGCAACTTGGTGAGACCTTGTTTCTACAAAAAGTCACAAAAACCAGCCAGGTGTGGTGGCGTGCATCTGTAGCTCCAGCTACTTGGAAGGCTGAGATGGAAGGATCGACTGAGCCCAGCAGGTTGAGGCTGTGATGGCTGTGAGCGTGCTACTGCACTCCTGTCTGGGTCACAAGAGTGAGAATCCAATTCCCCCCCCAAAAAAACCCTACCTTATCAGTGATCACATTAAAAGCAAATGGAAGGCTGGGCTCTGTGGCTCACACCTACAATCCCAGCACTTTCGGAGGCGCAGATGAGAGGATTGCCTGAGCTGACAGATTCAAGACCAGCCTGGGCAACTTAGCCAGATGTGGTAGTGCGTGCCTGTATTTCCAGCTATTTAGAAGGCTGAGGTGGAAGGATCACCTGAGCCCAGCAGGTCAAGGCTGTGGAAGCCATGAGCGTGCCACTGTACTCCAGCCTGGGCAACAGAGGGAAATTCCAACTCAAAAAAAAAAAAAGTAAAAGGAGGCTGGACATGGTGGCTCATTCCTGTAATCCTAGCACTTTGGGAGGCTGAGGCGAAAGGACTGCCTGAGCTCAGGGATTCGAGACCAGTCTGGGCAACATGGCAAGACCTTGACTCTACAATAAATCAAAAAATTAGCTGGGCATGGTGGCACATGCTTGTAGTTCCAGCTACTTGTAAGGCTGAGGAAGGATCACCTGAACCCAGCAGGTCCAGGCCACAGTGGCCGTGAGTGTGTCACTGCACTCCAGCCTGGGCGACAGAGTGAGACTCCAAATCAAAAAAAATAAAAAATAAAAAATAATAAAACTTTTTTCCTCTAAATATTGTGACTTTCTGTTCCTTCACAATATTGCAATATTTTGCCCCATCCTCTGTGGAACATGTAAAGATATGTTGTAAAATCCAGAATGTGATTTTAAATTGTCAGTATGACCAGGAGACTTTGAGTCACGTCAGCGTTCATGTACCAGAAAATGTAAACATAGATCTTGAATCATGCTGACAATGCATGTATGTTTCTTAATCTTAACCCAGGGTGGGTGAAGGGCTATGAATTTGGGATGTAAACACTGAATTAAGTTTGTGTTGCTTTGAGCAGGTTTCTGGTAACAACACCTACCCAACTCTCTGTAACCTAGTTGCAGATATTATACATCCCTTTTCTCCCAGTTTCTGCCCCTCATCTTTGACAGTGAGGGAAGCAGCCAGAATAGTTTATCCTAAACAGTAGGAGACTGAGGCTGATTCACTGGAAGGAATTGAACAGAGCCCCCTGGACTAGGGGCCCACAGGCATAACTGGGCCAGGGGACGTAGCAATCAGATGGGGAAGGTTGAGTGCCGAGATTGTCTTTCTGTCCCAGGAGCTGAGAGGATTCTTCTCTGGGGCCCTCACTAGCTCCAGACAAATCATAAGCATGCACTCTGCAAGCATGGGAGGCACCAGTGAGATGGGGACACCACAATAACACCCTCAAAAACTAAGTGTGCCCAACACACACTTGGAGATTCTGGTCAGATTGTTAATGTTCTGGACGGCTCCTACACACCCTGAAAGAAAAAGGAAACTCTCAAAGAAATAAATGCGTCCCCCAAAAACTATCAATCCCAGACAGCTAAGAAAGGCCATTTCCCTGTGAAATGAAAACAGGACAAAATTCTAAAAGGTAAGATTAAGAGATATCTGTAAAAGTAGAAAAACAGCCAGGCGTGGTGGCTCACGCCTGTAATCCCAGCACTTTGGGAAGTGGAGGCGAGAGGATTGCCTGAGCTCAGAGATTCAAGACCAGCCTGAGCAACATGGTGAGACCTCGTCTCTACAACAAATAAAAAAAAATTTACCAGGCATGATGGCGCATGCCTGTGGTTCCAACTACTCGGAAGGCTGAAGCGGAAGGATCGCTTGAGTCCAGCAGGTCCATGCTGTGATGGCCGTGAACAGCATGCCTCTGCATGCCACCCTGAGTGATAAATAAGACCCTGACTCAAAAAAAAAAAAAAAAAAGGTAGAAAAACAAGTCCACATCACGGTGTTCATTCATGTGCAAAACACACAACTCTGGACAATAAAAACTTGATAGTAGAAATAAAAATTTCTATTGAAGGATTGAAAAATAAAATTGCCGGGCTCAGTGGCTCAGCCTGTAATCCCGCGCCTTTGGGAGGCTGAGGTGAGTGGATTGCCTGAGCCCGCGGGTTCGAGACCCGCATGGGCAGCGAGACCTCATCTCTACCATAAATCAAAAAATTAGCCGGGCGTGGTAGCGCGCGCCTGTAATTCCGGCTACTTGGAAGGCTGAGGCCGAAGAATCGCCGGAGACCAGTAGGCAAGGCTGCGGTGGCCGGGAGCAGCCACTGCATTCCAGTCTGGGCGACCGAGTGAGACTCCAACTCAAAAAAAAAAAAAAAGAAAAAGAAAATTGAAGAAATCTCTCCTAAAAGAGCAGGGCCCAGGGTGGAGAGCTTCTGGCTCAAGACAGGAATGGCCAGCCCAGTCTGGCCTCGCAGCTGCTCCTGCAGATCTTTCTCCACCCAGTCCCCAAGGGCCCAGAAGCTCCAGCCCTGCCCATCCCTCGTGACTTTTTGCAGGGGCCAGGCACACAGCCAGAGGTGACTTTAAAAGCCAGAACTCTCTCCCTGCCACAGAGCACTCTAACAGGTTGAAAAATCCCTTAACACAGCTTTTCACTCCTTAATTAGAGGTGAGGCTGAAACACAAATCTCTCTGGGGGAGGAAAACAGTAACTGAAATTCGCATGAATGAATGTGTGAGGCCCCAGAGCCTTCCTGGAGTGAATTCCAATCAGAATATGGTACCCAGCTATGGAGACTGAGTATGGGGACAAAGAGATTGCAACTAATGAAGACATCATCCACATAATTCACACGGGGGTCTCCCCTGAGCCCGCGGAAATCATAACCATCTTTTGGTTCCCCTTACTATACTAGGCACTCAGTAAAACTCCTTAAAGCAATGCTCAAAAGATAGGCTGTGCGCCATGACAGTTCGCGACAGGTTCTCCAGGTGGGCTGAGAGACCCCAATGGGGTAAGCACATAGCCCAGGATCATGTTTAAAGGTGGCACATGAGCCGGGCTCGGTGGCTCAGCCTGTAATCCCACGCCTTGGGAGGCTGAGGTGAGTGGATTGCCTGAGCCCGCGGGTTCAAGACCCCCTGGGCAACTTGGCAAAACCTCATCTCTACAATAAATCAAAAAATCAGCCAGGCATAGAAGCGCATGCCTGTAATTCCGGCTACTTGGAAGGCTGAGGCAGAAAGATCGCCGGAGCCCAGCAGGTCAAGGCTGCGGTGGCCGGGAGCGGCCACTGCACTCCAGTCTGGGCGACACTGTGAGACTCCAACTCAAAAAAAAAGGTGGCACATGACAATGATTTACCAATGGTATTTAATTAAAAACCCAGACATGACTTCTTTCATGCCCCACTGCAGGCAGTACCCATGTACCTGCTGAGCTCAATGATAGGATCACAAATGAAAGAGTGTCACAGAGGCTTAATAATCTCTCTTATTTGTGGAGAACCATATACGTCACAGAATACTCACTCATTTAATCCTCACAACAGCCTGACAGAGAGGGTCGGGGCAAACATTAGTGCCATTTTACTGATGAGGATGCTAAAAGGCATAAAAATGCAGTAAGCTGCCTTGAGTCACATGACTTATGAAAGACAGCCCCAAGATCTTCCCAAAGATTTAGTCTCCCTGGCCAGAGTACTTTCATTCACAAAATGGCAGGGTAGAAAGAAATGGAGGGCAGGTCTCATAGTATCCTGTCCCGCCGCTCTGAGTAACAGCCCGAGTTCCTCTGCCTGTGGCAGCTTCCCCAAATGCACTGACTTGTCCTGTATGCCCAGGTGCTGCTTCAGTCAGGAAATAGCAGCTCACAGACAACCCCTGAAGACGCAAAGCAGCAGGTAGGGAGCCGGAGCCAGAACACAACATGTACACACCTGAGGAAAGAAAGAGAGGAATGTCTTTATCCTGGCCCCAGAATCTCAGGACAGGAAAACCAGATAAAGGGTCTGCCAAAATTCCTCTGAAGCCTGGAGCGCCGCAACAATCCATCAGTCATTGCCCACTGGAGAGCATTAGATGAATGAAGGCTCCACCCTTAAAATTAATTTTTTTAATGAAGATAGAGTCTCACTATGTTGCCCAGGCTTGTCTCAAGCTCTTGGGTTCAAGCAATCTTCTGCCCTCGGCCTCCCAATGTGCTGGGTTTACAGGTGTGAGCCACCACACCAGGTCTAAATTAAAATTTTCTAAAGACAAAGAGTTATTTTAAATATGGGAGGGGAAGCAGAATTAGGCATCCTTAGAGACTGCCAGCCTATGGAGAGCCTGGGAGTCTCAGGTGTATCGAGTGAACATTTTGCTGCAGATAGAGAACCATGTGGACTCACCTTCCAGTGCTCCCCAGAAAGTTCAAACACAAATGGACTGCTCCGCTTGCCTCTGTCCTTAGGAAGTGGACTCTGCCTTGCAAGAGTGTTCCTCTCGATCTTTTCCAGAAGCCGTACGCTAGTGTCTATGAAGCCATTTTTGCAGTACTGGGCTTGAGGGATGCCTTTCCTTCTGCATTCGGCCACAAAGTTCCACTCCTCCTTTATCCTAAAACAATGATAGAGGCCACAGTTACCCTCCTGGGACTGGTGACACCTGCTTAGAGAAGCCAGTCAGGCCACTGGGCGTGGGTGCTTTCCTTCTCATTCCTACAGCCTGATTTACCCAGTGCAAGCTATGGAAGCCCTCCCCTCTCCTCCCTGCTGGGAGTGGGAGATGGAGGTGGGAGGGTGATAGGAGAGATCCTAAATCCTTTTTAGAACTATTAGTAACTTTGACTTGAAAAGTAGAGGAGATGAGTTAGATGAAATTTCTGGCTAAAATTTTTACTAAAATTACCTATGCATTTAAATAAATTTCCTTTGAAATTATATTGTACCGACCTAAGTTTTTTTTGTTTTGTTTTGTTTTGTTTTGTTTTGTTTTGTTTTGGAGTCTCACTCTGTCGCCCAGACTGGAGTGCAGTGGCCGCTCCCAGCCACCGCAGCCTCGACCTGCTGGGCTCTGGCGATCCTTCCATCTCAGCCTTCTGAGTAGCCGGAATTACAGGCATGCGCTACCACGCCCGGCTGATTTTTTGATTTATTGTAGAGATGAGGTCTCGCTGCCCAGGCGAGTCTCGAATCCACAGACTCAGGCAATCCACTCACCTCAGCTTCCCAAAGGTGCGGGATTACAGACTGAGCCACCGAGCCCGGCTCCGACCTAAGTTTTTTAAAAGTGTAGGGGTAGGCCAGGCGTGGTAGCTCATGCCTGTAATCCCAGCATTTTGGGAGGCCAAGGCGAGAGGGATTGCCTGAGTCTAGGGGTTCGACTAACCTGGGCAACTTGGCGAGACCACGTCTCTACAAGAAATCAAAAAATTAGCCGGGCATGGTGGCACACACCTGTAGTTCCAGCTACTTGAAAGGCTGAGGCGGAAGGACCGCCTGAGCCCAGCAGGTTGAGGCTACAGTGGCCGTGAGTGTGCCACTGCACTCCAGCCTGGGCAACAGAGTGAGACTCCAACTCAAAAATAAAATTTAAGCCGGGCTCCGTGGCTCAGCCTGTAATCCCGAGCCTTTGGGAGGCTGAGGTGAGTGGATTGCCTGAGCCCGTGGGTTCGAGACCCACCTGGGCAGCG